AGCTCAGCAAGAATTCATCGGGGTCGCAGGGCGGTGCACCGAGGACCTATTCGCACAAATCTACAACCACTGCTCAAAGGTAAACCCCCCCAGCCTCCGATGGAACAAACTTACGAATCCCTTCCACTCGCCACTTCAAACGAAATGAAAAGTACTACAACATTAATTTTAAAATGTTCGTCTCTTTATATACATGTTCCTAACATCACATTTCTTTAGTAGTTTGCTTATCGTTTTCTAAATCAAACAGGAGGGTAATTTCAGTAGTCTGAGGAATTTGCCTAATTCATTATTTTTCCATATATAATTATTTCCTCCCATTCTACACTGCAATGTTATGAAACACGTATCAATTAACTCTAATAGATTATTAAGATGTCATCTAATCTAATCTCATATGATATCAAATCATGTTTTGGACGATGATCTATCCCCGAGCTATGGTTGCTATCACGAGACCCATTCAATAAGACGGAGCTAACCTGCCTTAATTTCCTTCTTGTAAGTAGTTTCATCTCTAATCGTCCTTTTTAGTCTATTAAATAAAGATGCATAGACTTAATTCGTGAACATTGTCCATAATAGAGCGCACAGCCTACATTTGATAACCTCCAAGTTCATGAGTGTAAAACCAAATTTACTCTTTGGTCCACAATACAGCTTTCCTTTCATCTCATCTATGCTAGTCCAATATCCTACATCAAACTAAAAGGAATGGTGCCTTTGTAGATATGTTTATCCTAGATATTAGGACGATATTAATCGTGAACTATGGTCCTATTTTCGTGGCATGCCAACCAGTATAAAATAATGGAAATATCCTATTTTCAACATAATTTCATTTAGCTTCGTTTACCAGACGGTCTCCTTCTCATTGGTGGATTTACATTTTGACCTCGCATGGAATCCAGAAGAACTCCAGACAGAATTCAAAGTTAGTTCATGCATTTCAGGTGGCAGCAAGCACCATTTAGTTACAATGACTTGAGCATCAAAGCACATGTGACTTACGGGCAACGCAGCTTCCTTACCATGTTATTTAAGGAGGTGAATGCCAACGAGGCAACCTGTGAATCAGACAAATAGAAGGCTGCTAAACTCTATTTTACCCTCATAATTGCAACTAGATGGCAAAACTAAGCCCTTCTGGGTCATGAAAGTGATGCCTCTACCTTTTTAAACCCTGGCAGATATATACTTATTTTTAGACCAAGAAAAAATGTAATGCAGTCAAGTATGTGAGAAATATGCTAATCGAAAGGGAGATAAAGCATGACTTTTGCCTCACCTTGGCATCTGGGTTATCACTGGTCAGATATTCTAGGAGGCCATGCATCATCCAGCTGGACTGTGTCTCTCCTGGATGCACACGTGAGGTGAAAATAACACACTTTTTAGGCGGTCCCATTCGTGCAGAGTCATGAGAGTCCATGTTTTCCTATAAGTTAAAAAATTACATCAAACAAGATACAGAATAAAAACGCAATTCACTAAACGTGCCTGTGTATGCCAACAGCAACTTAGGCGAATGGTCGAATAGTATCGCCCAGACCAAAATAATAGTAACCCCAGACCTCTTGGGTCTGCCCATGAAGAACTAAGAAGCCGCACTTTGAAAGTGAATTTCCCTTTGAATTATTCCCTGAAATATTATCCTCAACGGTGCACCACAATTGGTCTCTCCAACATCCTCATTCAGATTTAAGACCAGAGTATGCATGTTCTGACTCACTCAAAAGTCCCTGAAAAACGAGGTTGCCCAGGGTCCGTCTTGTCAAAATGTGAAACCACCGGTCGTTTTAACCCAACTTTATCATTATTTTCTTGATTTCACCGAGTTTACTGAAAAAAAGATGCTTTTTATGCAAGTACGACAAATGCGTGAAAGGAAAGTTTTAAAAATGGCTTAAAAGTATGTGCATAAGGAAATAAATTGCTTATTGCTGGTGTTTTTACGTTCGCGCAAGTATGTTACCAGTTCTGATTGCGACCGAAGTGGTTGTTAGGCCTGATAGAGCCCAGGCTGAAAATGCAAATTGAAGCTGGAAACCAGTTCTCTAGTCGACAGTTGGTGGTTTGAAGTTAGGGACTTAAAAAATCAAGTGATCACCGCCATATCGTCTCTATGACGTTTGATTATATGAATGCTCAACAAGCCCAGTTTCACCATAGCCTAGTTAGAAACACTTTGCTTTGATTGAGAATAAAATGACAGAAGGTTCACACCGCCAACAGTTTTGTGTATAATTAAATGAAACATGCAGGAAACAAAAGACAGACGAGAATCTGATGAATCGGTTCCATGCTTGCCTGCGCCTGTGATGCTCTCTGCCTGGCCTCAGGTTCTGTGATGGTCAATAGATGGATCAGGTTACCAGCTAAGCTTCTACAGAGAAGGCGCGACTGACAGACACGTGACCGTCGAGCACAACCTGATATTCGGGTGGCCAGGTAACGTCGCAATTGGCTGTAGGTGTATGGGTAGCATGGAGCCATGTACACAGTGTCCTTGGCCGCCGGGAACCTGAAGGTCCATGTAAGTGAATATAGAGGCCGTCCTTCGTAGTCAAACCCAGCGGGCCAGTTAAGTGGCTCTAGAGGTGTTGCCAACGGTCTCCAAGAGCAACAAGCTTCCATCTCGTCCGGACTCAGAATATTTCTCTCCCGTCCCAACCCTCGAGTGTAGTTGGCGTTTTTTAGCTGACAGGTAAAATCGGCTGAAGGCACCCATCTGCAGAGGCAAAATAAAAGCAAAACGGAGAACATTTAGGTATGCTTTATTTACTTAAGACCATGTATCTTGAGTCGGTTGAAGCAATTGATTGCTTCTTTCTGAGAAAAACATCATAAAATAACTCATGTTGGCGAGCCCGCATCCAAGACTCCTAGATAATGTGTCTTAAAGCTAAGAATGCAAAATTCTTCAAAGTTGATCCGGCTTGGTATATGCAAAGGGCTGGAGATGAAGAGTTGCTTGATCTGATTTAAAGCATAGGCATGTCGAGGGATCTGTGACTGGAGGCTTAACATATTCTAAAGTAAAGCAATCCAATTTGGGATCATTTTGAAGTGAATTGGATGGAACTTTCCCATATTTGCCCAATAATTATATTTATTTGTATTCTGGGACTAATTTCTCGATGAGGCTAATGACTTCGGAGAAAAAGTGTATAAAATAGAGATTTTTTATCATTATAAAAAATAGATTATTACTAAACAAACCACAACAAATCGAAGTATTCAGGGAATTAGGTCCATTTTTTATTTTCATTTTTGAATTAGGCTTTCCCTGAAGTTTTTTCCTATCGTTATGCAAAGTTATAGTATTCATAGTAAATAGGTTTCAAAACTATCATTAGATCTTGGATTAGAGTTCTGGTGACCATGGGCCGAGTAAAGTGGTCGGATGTAAATGTTCAGAACTAGCAGCTTCTTCTCCCGCATCCAAATAATCTGGTGACGTGAGTAACTTAACGTTTATAGAGTAGGATTAAATACTGCAGCACATCAATGTAATGCAAGTGTCAATCTCGATTCCATTAGAGGCCCAATTTCGGCATAAGGTTAGGTGAACTGCTTCCAGAATGATTAGGTATCATTAACTGCGGCAGCAAAATGAATATAAAAAGCTCAGATAAGTAGTTATTGCAAAATACCTAAGATCATTGCGGTAGTATTTTATGTTAGAGCCGATTCTACGCCAACCAATGCCTTTTTCAGCTGCAAGACGCTCAGAATAGAGTAAAGGCCGCAAACCATCATTGAACAGGCTTTTTGCCTGGAAAAATCAATAAAGAAACAATAAATAAATATTATTTATTTAATGCTAAATTTGCAAAAATATAATGATTCTTTTGGTGTATTGTCTATGTCCATAATTACGCAGTATGAGACGACTTCGTATACTATTTCATTTAACGTGATGAAGGACTGGTAGTAGAATTTTCCCACAATAAAAGTCACACCTGCCCTGTGACACAAGTACATCGTGCAATGTGACTGAGTGGTTAACGTGTCAAGTTCACATGCTGCATTTTTACCGTTCGACTCTTGCTGTGGGTGTTGCTAGGACCCATGCGAGGTCGAAATTGCAGTCCACTCACCCATCCTAATCAAATTAAAAAGATAAATATTAGATAAAATTTGACGGATGAAAGCTTAGCAAGGATTCACCATGGTCGCAGGGCGAATCCGTTCCACACGCCTCTCCAAACGAGAAGAATGGTAATCCAGCATCAATATATTAAGGGATTCTTCGAAACCCTGTTTTCTGCAACGTAATTTTATTTTTAGTGTTGGTTCGACCTTGTTTTCACAACTTGGTCGGTGCTTCAGGGAGACTTTGTGAAACGTACCTAGTCCCTTGTCCTCTGCCATAGTATTCGTGATTTCCAGCATTGGACCATTTACTGGGTACATTCTTACTTTGATACATTCATTTTGATAAGTTGTAACTCTGTGATTACAATGGCTCCTCTCACTAACGATGCCGGCGAAACATTTGGGAATGTACCCAGCCATTGGTCCAATGCTTGAAATCGCGAATACTATGGCAGAGGGCACGAGACTAGGTACGTTCCACAAGGTCTCCCTCACGCTCTGACCAAGTTGCTAAAACAAGGTTAACTAACACAATAAGATTATTGTGTTGGATAATAAGCATATTTTTATATCACAGATGATAGATCCTGATGGCTGCTTAGTAAATAAGATTAATGTGTTCGACACTTCATTTTGACCTGTAATATGCTTCGGCCGTGTTAAGCTGGTACTTGTTCTTGCACATTTTAAGTACAAAAAGTGTTACTGATTTAGATTAACTAGGATTGAGAGGCTAAGCAGGCGAAGGAACATTTAAAATTAAATTGAAAACCTTTTATGAAGCCTAAAATCATTAAGAACATTGGGTAAATTCATCTCATTTTATATTAAACTCAATAATCTATAAAGCCTAAGTTTAATGTTATCAAATTTTTTCATGTGCCCAACTTCTTAGCAAGTACTTTCTAAAGGGATGTATGCCTATTAATTGATTTTGGGGCAAGATATGGATGTCATTCATGCGACATTTATCCATAAAGTGTAGGTTAGAAGAGGGCTGTTCTATCATTAAAGAATGTAAATCTATAAATGCTATTTAAAAAGTAATGTATATGATTGTTTAGCTGAAAAGAATATGTCAGAATCACACCTTGTAAAAGTTCACAATCGTGAAACGATATATCTCTCCTTTGGCACGCATATTCGAAACTTGAAAGTAAAACCATTGAGTATATTTTCCATTATATAAATCAGGCCGCAGATATAATTCATATTCAAAAGGTCCTCTAAAATAGTGGAAAGGTTTTAAGCGCAAAAGAAGTAGATAAAGTTAGGAACGTAAAGTATAATATTTAAAATAATGCCAAAATTGATTTATGCGGGCTTTAATCACATTTTCTGCTCACACTTGTATGGCTTTCATTAGATTTCCAGACTCGAAGCGAGATTCAAAAACAAGCGATTCAGAGTTTTTAAGCTGAAAAGGTTCAGAACTTCGTTGTGCGATTGAATGTAGATAAGGGGATGAAATCGGTTTGATATCTCTTGCTATCCCATATTTAGCAGACTTAAACTGTCAAACGAAAAAATCAATTATTGTGAACATAAGTTGTTTAGTATTTAAGATAATCCTTGATAAATAATAATCATATTCTGTCAAGTTAAACAAATAATATCTAACAATTACAAGTAAAATTTAGTAAAGAGGGGTAGAAGTAATTATGAGGAGCTATCGGCATCAAAATAAAATATCTAGATATTAAATATTTTAAAGTGCCGACAAAATTTAGGCATACAATTTTTATTTATTTGACAATTATTAGCTTAATTCCAATTCATTTAATATAACCTAAAAATAAAGCTAAAAATTCTTTATTTTTGAACTTATTAGAACAGCTGCTAAAGCATCAAATAAGATAAGTAATATTTGCAAGATTTATTCCGCTAAGAGTTTATGCTACCAAAAAAGGAACGAAGGGCAAAAACCGGTTAAAATTTCTAATGCCTATATAATAATTCACAGGTATAAAATGGTCGACCCTAAATAATTAAGGCAAAATTTAAAAAATATGCCAATTCAAAATTCAGACATAAAACAAGAGGATATTAGTAATTAGGAAATAAAATGTAGGTAGGGTTGGATGATGCGGTGAGTGTCATTAATTAATTGTAGAAGTGAAAACTAATAAACAGAAATCTGTTTCA